GATTCAACTTTGATATGAGGCAAGAGTGTAAAGTATGGAAAACAGGAGCCAAATTGACTTGCAAAAATTCTTGAGGAAGGCTGGTGCAATAACACGGGTACAATGTACTTTATACATGTAAAATATTCACTGACATGACTTTCACTTCAGCTTAACGTTGAAATCAGACCCAAGCAAATACAAACATACTTGGATTGTCCAGGAAATGGCAAATAAGTGCTTTAAGACTTAAGTTGTTTAGTGGCTGTTCAATCAGGTAGACACTGTCTTGATGAATGATTGGGAATACAGCCAAGCTTTTCACCAAAAAAAAATTAATGGGAAATTGGAAATATTTAGCATCTTGAATATTTCAAGAATGTACAAATAACATTCTTTAATAGTGAAAACCAATCTTGTACATGTACAAATGAAGGTCATTGGTTCCTAAAATTAAAAAAAATTACATTGAGTTTACCAAACTGTCCTATGAAGGTGGGTCATATGTTAACAGTATCTTGTGTAAATGGGAGGTACTTGTAAATCCCATGGGAATGAATTCAGTACATATGCTGTATTGTAAGTGAGTTTTGTCAAGCCAAAGAACAGTTATCACAAACACAGTTTTTTAGTCAGTACCCCTATTCTCATGAAGGAGATTATATAAGTGCTATGATCAGCACCCTTACTTAGCACCTTCATAGTACCAGTAGCGCGAAAGGCCTTCTTTACAAAGGCTTAATAAACTGTGTCATTTAAATCACATATCAACAGTTGGAGTTTAATAACAAATTGTAGCTATTTGTTGCCAGTCCAAAGCTCCCAAGTTGAAATCTGTTTCATCTTCTGATAAAACATGAAGCTCTGGCCATTGGTCATGATGCTTTCTGAAGGGGACATAACCCCTGTGTGACGTGGTAGGGCACGTTTATAATTTAAAATAGTAATTAATCCTTATCCTCTCTTGGTTTTCTGTTTTCAATTCTGTTTGCCAAGTCTTTTACAAGAAACTCCAAGGAATCAGTCTCTGTCAACCTTTTGACTGATTCCCCTTTTTCAGCCAAGATATCTTCAATATTTCTGTAAAATATCATTCAACAAGCTCTAAGTAATAATCTAACCCTACATGTACCATTCAGGCTTGATTTCAACTGTGATTGAATTACAATAAACTCACATGGTATTTACATGTAAAGTGTTTGCTGTTTTGAAAAGACTGCATTATCATAGAGGATTGACATATTCTGACTTTGGAGGAATTTCTTATCCCTTCTAACTGAATTATCTTCTTTGGCAAAATGGCTGGATATAATTTAACCAAAGGTAATATATAGTGTGCATGGACAGTGTGGAATGGGGGAGGGGGGGGGAAGAGGGTACTTTCTAGTGGTAGGCTAATTGGGAAGTGCTCTGGGACTCAATGGAGTCACATTGTTTGACTGAATTGATTATAATGGGATTGAATTTTCAGAGTTGCTAGAAAGGGCTTGCACCTTTTTAAGGATTTGTAGAGGTAAGAAAATTCTTTTAAGTAGGGATTAAAAAAATGGCAAGATCACAGTTAAGAGGATGTCACTATATTATCAAAAGTGACTTGGATGGGGTCCAGGAGCAATTGCAGAATACCCGGCCTGTAATGTTCTCATTATAAAATAATGCATTTATAATGTACTCATTATAAAACTGTTCATACATCGATAGTCATCAAAATTAACCCTCTACTAAACTTTATATAAAAATTAAATAGCAGAAATGCATCTGAAGGGAATGAGAACTTTCACCCAAGGGTCGGTGTTTGAGTTCACAAGAGTTCAGTTCTCTATTTCAGAGCTGAGCTCGATCAAGCTCAAAAGATGAAAAGCAAAGTTACCTGTTATCATTGTAAAACCATCCCAAGTTGTCGGCTATTAGATGATTATTGTTACAACCAGGACATTTGACTATAACTACTCCTTTGGAATAGGCCTGCTTACTGATAAGCTTCTGAGATCGTGTTTCACACACTTTGCACGTGAAAACCAGATGAAACTTTTCACTCTGATCAATCGACCCCAGCGGTTTACAGCCGCTTTTCGTTGCCTCACTGCAGAGGTTACGCCATGAGTACAGTGCTCTTGTAGATGGAGATGTACTTAAAGAATGAATGAAACCAAAAGTTCTTCTTATTAAATGATTCCAAGATATTTGTCGGAAAACACGAGGCGACCTTACACATAAGTTAGCCGCCATTTAAATTGATGCCTAAGTGTTCATATATCACATGCATTTTAAACCTCACTGATATCCGCTGGTGCGAGCGCGGGCTTGTGTCTAATATACATGAAGATGGCGGAGTGCTTGAGAGAGGCACTCCGTCTGCCCCCATATAATCTACTAAGTCTCTTGAACAGATCAAAGTCGTTGAAGATTATCTCCAAATTATATGCAAGGCAAGCTCAAGCGTCTGATGTTAGAAAACTATGCTCGATGGTAAATTGTTGCGGATTATGTTGTGACCCGTTGCGTCAGATGACAAGTTTTCAGAGAAACTATACTATATGTATCTTCAGTCTCTTTGAGTACTGAAAGTGTCAGGAAATGTATACACTCCAATTTTATTCAGCTTTCTTTTCTCTTCCGCTCTATGCTGTTAATTACCACCTGATTGGGTTTAATTTCCATGCAAAAATAAGCTACCCTCAACCTGCCACGAGAAGTTGTTTTTGGTTTTTTTTTTTCTTTTTTTTTTTGCACAGGTTGTTGGTTTGGGTAATCATTCCCTTCCTGACACACGCCATAGTGTTGGAATGCTTGTAGTTGACTGTCTTGCCAAGTATTTGGGAACTTCATGGCATTTCAATAAGCAATCTTTGGGTTAGGTAGCAGTAACCAAAGTGGGTAACCAAAAGCTTATATTATTGAAACCCTCTGTGGCAATGAACCTTAATGGAAGGAGTATTTCAAAAGCAGGTATTCTAACTATTAGATTAAATATTCTTTAATCTTCGACAACAGTTTTGTGACAATTTTTTTTAGTGGTTTTAGGAAAAAAAAAGTGGTAATATCTGTAAGTTTGACCCTTTCCACTTTAACATCAGTATGTAAACTATATTCTCCATACGGTTCTCTATACATTTCCTAAGGTGCTGACAAGGAGAATTTGTTTACAATCAAGAGCTTTCTTGGTTGGTGATCATTTCCTCTATTCTCGCAGCCTTAATGGGTGATTCAGGGGAGAAATTAGATGCTTATCATTCTTAGGGATCCAAGGGTTAAACCTATTCTATGAGATTGATTAAACAAGGAGGAAGTTATCTTATGCCAACTTGAAGACGAGTTTTTGAAAAAAGTGTGAAGAATTTTGCCAACTTATAGGTCAGGCCAGAAGGACAGCCAGAAATGAAAGATCAGACAAAAGAATGAGATAGACATCAATTTCTCTTTTTGATGTAATAACCTTCACAAAAGGAACTGTGGGATGTGGACAATTATAAACCTGATATATTTACTTGCATATACAAAAACTTGATTCATGTAACTGTTCCTTCTTATTTAGTCACAATATATAATGTGAACCCATCTGATGTTATTCTTTTTCATGATGACCTTGACAGACCTTTAGGTAAGTACAGTTTAAAACATGGAGGAAGTGCTGGGTGAGCTACCACATTCCAGGCAATACTTGCAATACTAATTAATTTAAATACTAATATAACTGAACTTTTAGAGTGTAAGGCTACTTATCAAACTGGTCAACGTGGTCAGCTGCTAGTCTAGAGTTTTTTGTAACATCATGGTTTCTATAGCATGAAGCAACCAGGAGTGTTGCTTCATTGTTCTCATCTTCTAGATTTTAAATGTTGTAAATTTTTAGTTACCCCAACCTCTGAATGGCAATTTATCTAGAATGAAAAATAGGAATTTTTAGTTCTGCACTAAATGTCAGTTTTGACAATGTAAAATGCTACATGAAGTTTAATTCTGTTCATTTGCGTGCAGAAATTTCAGTTTACAAATCTGTAACATTTTTTGCAGGGGTCACAATGGAGTAAGGTCAGCAATTGCATCACTTCACTCTGATGTGAGTTACTGCATATTTTATTTCTTTTTTGTGTTTTGATTGTAGACATCAGAAGAAGGAAAGAGGGTGAAAGCTCAGTTGTCGAAATAGAGAGAAACAGTGTTCTTTCATCAAAATTAGACATCAGATTTCTGAGAATTCCTTGAATACTACATAAAATTCTCAGTCTAGCTAAATTTCAATAGCCCAACTGATTTTTTATTCAGATATGCAGTCATTCAAACTTGCCATTACATATCTTTACAAAAACCCTGTGCTAGACCCTTGGCATGGCTGACTTTTATGCAGCAGTGTACTAGATGCATTATAACTGTACTAGATGCATTATAACTGTACTAGATGCATTATAACTGTACATGTATTTCAAGAGAATAATCTATGTGGTGTCTTATTTGATATTTATTACACGAATCGGGCAAGAAAAAATTTGCGTGGCGCGGACTGACCAGGTTTGTAAATCTTCTACAATGTCGGTGATGGGCATGCAAAAAGCGGCAAAAGACAGTCAACTAAGGAAAACAAAAGCGGTCGTACCTACGGTCGTTTCGTACCCAAATGCAGTCGACTTGTACCCGAGTTTGAGTCGGTTCGAACCCAAACCGCCGGTCGATTCGTACCCAAACCGCTGGTCGACTCGGACATTTATTCGTACGTACATTTATGCGTACAACAAGTTAATAAAGTCGGGCGAGTAAGCAAGATCCAAATTTATGTTGAGTATACTTGTGACATTCATAAAAAAAACTTAAATATTTCCTAGCGCAAGGTGAGTGTGAAGTTTTTAACAGAAAAGTCTATTGTTTATACTTTTTGACCTTTTTTTACCAAAAACAGCCAGTGTAGGTGTGATATTGTTTCTCCAGTTATTTACATGTAAAACATACTTTATTAGTTTGGGTACAAAACGACCGAGCTGGGTACGAAACGACCGTGGGTACGGAACGACTCGTAACCATACGGACGACTTTACTAACCAAACTTGTTCGGTTTAAATGGCTGGATATAAGCCTCGTTCTTTTCTTGCTTTTCTACACCGAAGCTGGGTTGTTTAATTTGAGAGTAGCAATCGCTGATTCGCGAGAAGTAGAACTTATTCGCCTGACCGTAGAAGGTCTAGGTACGAGACTACTCGCAGCTCTAGTTAGAGTCGATCCACCAACTTGTAAAGCTTTGAAAAAAAAAAATCAAGTTCTGTGGGTGAAATAACTTAGAAATACTCCCGAGAGAAATATAAAAAGCAAGATTTTGCATTTAAATGAAGGGTTTTACCAATCCTATTTTGTAGTCACGCACGGCCTGCAGTTTGATCACGTGCTAGGCTGGTGGAAGCAAAGGGACGACCCTAACATTTTGATTCTTACTTATGAGGATAGAGTACAGGTAAGAAATCATAGTGAACCGTTTATAGCTCGTTTTGCTCTTGGTAATGCTTCAACAAATGAACCTTCCATTTTGCTCCGAAGATTTTCTTGCCCCCAACATGTCAGGTTTCTGAGGCATGCGTTGATCCACCCTCAAAGACCTTGTACATGGATTGTTCATGTGAACTGATCAATCTTTAAAAAGAATAGTTGTGGTACAAAGCGGATATCAGAAATACAGTGAGCACAAAGGAAAATAGTAAGTTTGTTAATTTGCAGAGATTTTAAAGCAATTTGAAAGTGTGAAATATTGAAAGGACTTTAACGCCGGACGAAAGTTGGTTTGTCATCATTCAGCTTTTTTTCCTGACGTTCTTTTTTATTTTGGTAGTGACAGTAAATTTTACACTTAAACGTCACTGAAAAATGTTTACCTTTGATTCACTGTCTTAACTTGCCTGCAGTATTTCCATTTAAAAGTTATGACATTTTCAAATATTCATTTAGGATCCAGGAGATGCTGTTGACAAGATTGCAAAGTTCATTGGTAAAGAAATCTCTCCTGCAACACGTGACCTCATCGTCCGACAAACGTCCTTTGACGCCATGAAGAGCTCGAATTACACCAACTTTACTTGGTTTGAAGGAATAAAAGGGGACGGCTTTATAAGAAAAGGTCAAGTAGGAGGATGGAAAGATTACTTCACTGAAGAACAGAACGAGTTGTTTGACAAAGTCTTTAGTGAAAGAGTAGGAGATCTTGAGACTCTAGCT